GAGGAGCAGGCGGAGCAGAAGGGGCAGAAGGAGAAAGAGGCGGAGGAGGAGGAGGAGCAGGAGAAGGAGGAGGAGGAGCGGGAGCAGTAGGACCAGGAGCAGGAGGAGGAGGATGAGGAGGAGGAGGAGGAAGACGAAGAAAAACAATAACACTAATAATAATAATCGTCATACTAATAATAACTACTACGAATACAAATAATAATACTAATGATAATAAGAAGCCGAATGCTAAGACGAGTGCCAATACTACTAATAATATTAAGATTAGTCATACGAATACTACTGACAACATTAAGAAGAGTGCACATACCACTTTCCAGAAAACGAATAAGAAGACTACTAATGGTACTAATGATAAGAAGAAGCAGACGAATACTAATATTAATAATAAGACGACTAATAGCAATAAGACGAATAAGAACAATAACAACAATTTTAAACACAAAACACGACACATACTAATCATACTAATAATAACGCGACGAAAAGACGAATACGCATACGACGAATAGTACTAATTATAAGACGAAGGCGACTAAGACGACTAGTAATAATACTACTAGGACTAATGATACCAACAAGAATAATACTACTAAGACGAATAATACGAATTGCTAATACGAATAAGAAGAATGATACTAATCATAATAATAAGAAGAAGCAGACGACTACTACTAATAATAGTACGACGAAGAAACATACTACGAATCATAAGAATAATAATGCGAATACTAATGATAAGAAGACTACGAACAATAATACGACTAATAATGATAATACTAAGAGTAATAATACTATGACTGGTACTAGTAATAATGATAATAATAATAAGAGTACGACCAATAATAATACGAATGCTAATAATACGAATGCCAATATTAAGAATAATGAAACTAATCAGCAGACTAAGAATAACAATACCAATATTACTAAGAAGGAGAGGACTATGAATAACATACTCGTAAGATTAATACTATTAAGAAGAAGAGTCAGACTACTAAGAATCATAATATGAATAATAACAATAATAAGACAACTAATCATAAGACAAAGAAGAATAATAAGAGGAGGAGGAGGACCAGAAGGAGCAGAAGGAGCAGAAGGAACAGAAGGAGCAGAAGGAGCAGAAGGAGGAGGAGGAGGAGGAGCGGGAGCAGGAGGAGCAGGAGGAGGAGGAGGAGGATCAGGAGGAGGAGGAGGAGGAGGAGGAGGAGGAGGAGGAGGGAGCTCCATCCACAGGAGCACGGGCAGCGTGCGGGATGTCGACAACGCGAGCAGGCGCCGCGCTGCCCTCGCTCGGGGTGCGCTGGTGTTTTGTCTGCGCGTTTGTTTGTTGTTTATTTGTTTGTTTGTTTGTTTGTTTATTTGCGTGTGATGCCGCTGCACTGTGCAGCTTTGACGCTGAACAGAACTGGCCGTCATGGGTGCACCCTAGGCCTCCCAGATGGGATCCGAGAAGATGTGGTCGGAGTATCGCGCCGCTCGTTCGTTCGTTCGTTCCACTTCACTTCGTGGAGCCGGCGCCGTTGGCACGAGAATTGCTGGGACTCGAGAGTTGCTTTCTGCTCTCTGCTACCGTTCCAGCTCTCGGTGTGGCTGAGGTATATTGCCCTTCACCCCCACAGGGAAGGCCATCGGCCGCATCCTACAGATGACTGGGGGTCTGGCTGCTTCGGCTCAGGCTTGGCCCAATGATTTCAAGGTGTTATGTACATGTTTTGGTAGTTTCTGAAAGGTGGAGCGCTTCCTCTTCTCTCATCGCCGTCCCCCCCTCGGTTTCTTCCACTCGGGTCTCCAGAATCCTCCATAGGTCTCCGAAATCTCCGGGAACGCCCTCAGAGGATTCAAGAGGTCCAGCCCGAAGGCCCCACATATGCTTTTAGAGGTCCAACGGGGTACGAAAAGGGTAGAGGGTAGATAATCGCTAAAGGTCTTCAGTTTTGGTTCCCCCCCTTTTCTCTCGGCGGAGAATAGGACTGATCCTAACCCCTCTTCCTCCTCCTCCCTCCTCCTCCTCTTCCGTCTCCTTCTCCGCAATCGCAGTCGTAGCTGTCGTCGTCGTTGTTGCGTGGCAGGTGCCGCGGAACAAAAATGATTACTAACCCCCTCTTGGTGGGACCCCCAGTCCTTCAATAAGGCCGCCGAAGAAATGATTATTTACCCCCATTGGGGGGGGGTTCTCATAACCCTCCAGGGTTATCCCAGAGGGTAGATCTGCTTGCACTGAAGACGGAACACGTTCGCTCTTCTTGTGGCTCCACCACCTCCGCTTTCCTCCGTCTTTCTCGTCCTCCTCCGTCCCGTCCTCAGCGTCCCCCCCCCAGCGACGACGCCCGACGACCGAGACGCACCGCACGCGCGAGCGACCGATCGAGCGAGCGACGACGGCAGCGGCTTCGGCGGCGAAGCACGGCGCCGACGGCGGCGACGACCGACCTCCACTGCCCCCGGCAGCTGCATGGGCAGCGCGGAGGGCACGGTCGGCGCGCCCGTGGAGATGCACGAGTGCACGGACGGCGCGAGAGGGCCTCCTCGCCTCCTCTCGTGGAGCCTCGCCTCCCCGCCCCCCCCCGTCCGCCGGAGCGAGGGGGGGCGGGCGGGGAGGAGCAGCAGAGAGATCGGCGTCACGCCGACACGCTAGTACTGCGTGTGCGTCGCGCCCCCCCCCCACGGGCGACGCGCTCTCCGAGAGATCTTGCAGTACGAGCTCCGTGGCGGCGCCTTCTAGGCAGACCTCTCGGGAGACGAAATACTAGAATCTGCTTGTACCATATGATCCGGTCGGACAAGCGCCTCCAAGGAGGACATGTAGTACTAGTATGTCCTTCTGCGTCCCAGGAGATGGAGAGGATGAGGTTCTAGGATGTCTTGGTACGTTCTCGTCGTCGTCGGCGTCGGACGAGGAGGACGAGGAAGGCAAACTTATGCTAATGATGACCGTGGTGGTGGTGATGATGGCTGTAATGGTGATGGTGATGATGCTGATGATGATAACGATGACGACGACGATGACGATTATGATGATCATGACGGCGATGATGATGCTGATGATGCTGCTCATGATGCTATTGATGATGCTGATGCTGTTGATGACGATGAGGAGAATGATGATGTAGACGGTGATGTTGATGATTGCGATGACGAGGACGATGATGATGATGATGATGATGATGATGATGAAGATGACGATGATGATGTTGTTATGACCCTTGATTCTGGTGATGATACTACCGATGACGATGATGACGACGACGACGATCACGATGATTATGATGACGATGCCGATGCTGACAATGATGATGATGATGATGCTGCTGACGACGATGATGATGATGATGATGACGATGATGATGATGATGATGATGATGATGTCGATGCTGATGCTGCTGCTGCTGATGCTGATGATGATGCTGATGCTGATGCTGAGGATGATGATGATGATGATGATAATGATGATGATGCTGATGATTTTAATACGATGATGATGGCGATGGTGATGATGATGATGATGATGATGATGATGATTATTCTGATGACGATTATGATCATGATGATTCTGATGATGATGGTGATGGTGATGGTGCTGGTGATGATGATGATTGTGATGATCATGAGGATGCTGATGGTGATGATGCCGATGCTGATGCTGATGATGATGCTGAGGATGATGATGATGATGATGATGATGATGATGATGATGATGATGATGATGATGATGATGATGATGATGATGATGATGATGATGATTCTGATGATTCTGATGATTATGATGATGATGATGATGATGATGATGATGGTGGTAGTGGTGGTGATGATGATGCTGCTGCTGATGATGATGATGCTGCTGATGCTGATGATGATGCTGCTGATGATGAGCATGAAGACTATTTATGATGATGCTGATGATGCTGCTGCTGATGATGATGATGGCGATGATGCTGATGACGATTATGATGATGCTAATGCTGCCGATGGCGTTGTTGGTGGTGGTGGTGATGCTGATGATGATTACGACGACGACGACGATGATGATGATGATGATGATGATGATGATGATGATGATGATGATGCTGATGATGATGATGATGATGATGCTGATGCTGATGCTGATGCTGATGCTGATGCTGATGCTGATGATGCTGATGCTGATGCTGATGATGATGATGACGATGCTGATGATGATGCTGCTGCTGATGCTGCTGCTGATGATGATGACGATGATGATGATGATGATGATGATGATGATGATGATGATGATGATGATGATGATGATGATGATGATGATGATGATGATGATGATGATGATGATGATGCGCTGCATTGGGCGTTCTTCCCGCGGCTGTTTTCTGTTTCAAGGTCATTCTGCTGCTTCATAGGGGCGCACTGGCCTTTCCAGCGCGCACGCGCATGGTCTGGACCAACCTTGCTAATCTGGCAGCCATCACCGCCTTCTCAGACTGGGTGATCCGTGGGGCGTTCTCGGACGCCGCTGCAGGTGCTTAGATGCTTGGCGCGCCGAGGTAGTCTGCCCCGAGATCCCAGTTCCAGTGTGACACCGCCACTGCGTGTGCGAGTCAGTGACGAGCGATGGTAATTTCTATCTTCGAGCTGCTCCCGGGCGCGTTCGTTGGGATTCTTCTGTCCTTCGTTCAAGTGCTGCTCACGTGCACCAACAGCGCATGTGGGCGCCGGTCCGCCGGGGCCTCCGGCTCCACTTCCGCTTCCTCGGGGAGCGGACGGATGGCCTTGGCCAGCGGGGCCAGGGGCGACCGCCCTGCGGAAGGCCCTCGTGAAGTACGTGGGCGCGGGCGAGGAGTTGTCACACGAGCGGCCGTTCCTGACGGACACAGTGTCACGTGTTGCCACAGCCGCAAGTCCATGTTGTGGTGTGTCCGATGAGAAGTGCGGCGACGGCGCGGCGTTTGAGCTGGTCAGGTTTCTCGTTGACGACGGGGAGCTGCCGCTCGGCATCGGGGCCGCCAACCTCTGCAGGCTCCGGGGCGGACGCCGCAGCCCAGCTTTCCTGGAGGCGCGGCCAGCAGCGGCGCGCCGTGCCGCCCCGAAGCGGCGACCATGGCGCCAGCTCCTGGGCTCGCGGCCGCCCCGGGGGAGGTCGTGCAGGGGCAGCCCCGAGCTGGGTGATCGGGGAGCGCGTGGAGGGCCACAGCGTCGGCGAGATCGTGGTCCTGGCGCCCAGAGCGGGAGCGGCTGTACTGAACGTCTTTGCGCTGATGGTCCTCCCCACCATGACGGCGCCTCGGCCCGTGTTGCTGAATCAACTGGCCAACTTCCACGCCGACATCGACGGCTTGGGGCGGATCTAGTGGTGCAGGGCTGCGACGGCCACGCGCGGAAATGTCCAAGCCGTGGGGGATGACGTTCGGCCGCTCTCTGTCGTGTATGGGCCCGACGGGCAGCGTCACCGAGACCTCAGAAAAAGCTCGTTCTGTGGTCGCTTGGAGGGGGGGGGGCTTGGAACCGATGGAGGGGCGGAGGGTTCGAATCCCCCCCCCCCCCTCCCCTACTCTTCCTCTCTCCCTCTCCTCGGGCCGGCGCCTGCGTCGGCGGCGGCTGGCGGCGGTGGCGGGGACGACGACTTCCTTTTCTGGGCCGGCGGCGGCGCCTGCGGCGGCGGGCGGCGGCGGCGGGGAGCGTCGACGAGGACGACGGCGACGACGATGACGACGACGACGACGCTCCGCCACCGTGCCCTGGTTGTGGGTCAGAATCCTCTTGGATGCCTCTTGGGGTCTCGTCGGAGGGCTCTCGGGGGCCTCCGAAGGGCATTTGTGCAGCTTCCTGGGCGCCTCTTGGGCGTCTCTTGGGGCCCATCTGAGGTGGTGGTGGAGGTGGTGGGCTGTGGTGGTGGTGGTGGTGGTTGTGGCGGTGGTGGTGGTGGTGGTGGTGTGGTTGGTGGTGGTGGTGGTGGTGGTTGTTGTGGTGGTTGTTGTGGCAGGTTGTGGTGGTGGTGGTGATGGTGGCGGTGTTCGTGGTGGTGGTGCGGTGGTTTCTGGTGGTGGTGGTAGTTGTGGCGGTGGTGGGTTAAGGTGGTGGTGGCAGTGGTGATGGTGTGGTGGTTTGTGGTGGTGGTTGTGGCGGTGGTAGTGGTTGTGGTGGTGGTGGTGGGTTGTGGTGGTGGTGGCGGTGGTTGTGTTTGTGGTGTTGGTGTTGGCTTGTTGAAACGATGGTGGTTGTGGTGGTAGTTGTTGTTGTTGGTGGTGGTGGGGGTGGTTTGTGGTGGTGTGGTGGTTTGTGGTGGTGGTGGTGGTGGTGGGTTGTGGTGGTGGTTGTGGCGGTGGTGGTGGTTGTGGTGGTGGTGGTGGTGTGGTGGTTTGTTGTGGTGGTGGTGGTTTCGGTGGTTTGTGGTGGTGGTGCTGGTGGTCGTTTGGTGGTGGTGGTTTATGGTGGTGGTTTATGGTGGTGGCGGTGGTTTGTGGGGGTGGTGCTGGTGGTGGTGGTGGCGGTAGTGGTGGTGGTGGTGGTGGTGGTGGTGGTGTGGTGGTTTGTGGTGGTGATGGTTTGTTGTGGTGGTGGTAATGGTTGTGGCGGTGGTGGTGGTGGTGGTGGTGTGGTGGTGGTGGTAGATTGTGGTGGTGGTAGTGGTGGTGGGTTTGTCCGTCAGCATCCCTTCTCGGTCGCGGGACCTCTTCCCGCTGCCTCGTCTCGTGGCTCATGATCTGGATCGCGGCGATACATTGTGCGGCTCGACGACCCGACGGATCTTACGTCGGATGACCATCGCCCATGCGGCCAACGCGTCTGTCGACGCGCTGAACTCCATGTACTTCGGCGCCTGGAAATGGATCTGCCCTTCAGGCGCTGGCAAGCTTCCGAGCCTGCCGTAGTGCCAGCGTTCTGTCTCACTCATGTGATTTCGCGCGTCCGCGAGCTGGGCCCGCGCCCCCCTCTCGCATCGCTCGCCCGCGAGCCTTCGAGGGTTTCGGGTTTGAAGCGCTCTTGCGCGGGAGATCTTGAGCAGGGGTCCAGGGCCCCCGTGGCCGTGCAAAGTTTGCCGCTTCCTGCTATTATGCGGCGCCGACCTGTGTAAATGGTCTCAGTGTTGGATGAGACGCGCAGCGGATACCTTCAGGACTTTGAGGTGCGCGTGCATGTCGACGCGGCTGCTTGGAGCTTACTGGCCGAGCAGCCCGCTCGAGTGCCGCCTTCCGCTGGCCCGCTGTTGAAAAAATCCCGCGGCTTCGGGGGTCTCGCGTCCGTGTTCGCCTCCTGGGGTCATGTGAGGTTCTGGCGCCGACCCGCCGCCGGGGTCGGGCCTCTCGTTGTTCGCGGCAAGTCTGGTAAGCAGCGTCCTGTCCTGGACAGTAGACAGTGTAATCATCGTCTCGCACCGCCGCCACACCGAAGTAGGAGGCCTCAGTTCTGTAAGTGATCTGGAGCTCCCAGTAGGGCAGGCCCTGGGCTGAACCTGATGTTGAGGATCACTTTTACTCTATGGGTGGAATCTTGGAGGGCCTGCCGGATTTCCTCGCTTTCGGGGTGCGCGTGAAGATC